AGAAAGTCTTGGTAATAATGATCTTTTGGATTTTGGTACCAAAAGCAAAAGTAAATAAGTGGGATTACATCAAACTGAAAAGCTTTTGTACAGCAAAGGAAATAAGTAACAAAAATGAAAAGCCAATCTACTGAATAAGAGAAAATATTTGCAAAGATCATACCTCATAAGAGGTTAATATATAAAATGTATAAAGAACTCATAATAAAGTACAATGCAATAGCAAAACAAAAAATGATGAAAAAACGGGCAGGGGATCTGAATAGACATTTTCTGAAAGAAGACATACATATGGCCAATAGGTACATGAAAAGGTACTCAACATCACTAATCATCAGGGAAATACAAATTAAAACTACAGTGAGATATCACTTCACACCTGTTAGAATGGCTATTATCAGAAAGACAAGAAATAACAAATGTTGAGGATACAGAGTAAAGGGGACCTTTGTGTACTATTGGTGGGAATGGAAATTGGTGCACCACTCTGGAAAAACAGTCTGGAGGTTTCTCAGAAAGTTAATACAACTATCATATGATGTACCAATTCCACTTCTGGGTGTTTATCTCAAAGAAACATAACCACTGGCTTGAAAAAATATATGCACCCCTACGTTCATTGAAGCTATTTATAACACCCAGGACATGGAAGCAATCTGAGTATCCCTTAATGGATGAATGGATAAAGATGTGACACACACACACACACACACACACACACACATATATAAATGTGATATATATATATAGTGGATGGTAAAGGATATGTAGTGGATGGTAAAGGATTCTATAGTAATGGCTTTACTGTATATACAAATATCAAATATTGTGTTGTACACTAGGTACTAATATAACGTTATGTGTCAATTATATCTCAATTTAAAAAAAGAGTACTTGTGCTTGGAAGTCTTGAAATTTTGTCACATTAGACTATCTATCATTATCTTAAAAGTCCTGAGCTGTTGCTGAGTATTACATATACCATCCAAATACTTTCATTATATTTTCAATAATAACCAAATAGAGGGAAAGATATACTAGCTTTAGAAGACATTATGTCTTCCTGTTCCCAGTTGCTATAAAGAATAGGGATGGAAAGTGAAAAATTATGGCCATAAATTCATTGGATTGTGAAAAAGGTCAGTGAGGGCAAAGTGAACTCACTCAGTTGATATACTGCTAACCACAGCAAATCCTAATATTGCCATATTGTAAGAAAATGGTAATAACATGTTGTTAATGGACCCAAATATTGTCATGTTCTTAGACCAATAATTATATATTTAGGAATCTATAGTGAGGGAGCAATCCAAAAATAGTAACAACAACAATCATGAAAAAATGTATCATATTCAGTGTTTTGTGGGTTTTTTTTTTTTGTAAAAAGAACAACAGGAAGCCACCTAAATGTACAATAATATAAGAATGGCTAAGTAATGATAGTATTTTTATTGGGTAGAATATTATGGAGCTATTAAAATGGTGTTATAAAGGTTATGCAACAGCATCAAAAGTAAAGTAGAATCCTAACTGAAAATAAGATACAGTATTATATGCACACTATTATTATAACTATGTAAAAGAAAAGGAAAAAAAGTCCATAGAATTGCAAGCAGTGCTGGTAAGAGTTGCCTTTTGGAACCTCTTATTTTCTTAGAAATGTTCATATCATTTGAGTAATTCAACTTCTGGAAATTAACCTTAAAAATTATCCAAAATGAGAAAAAATAAGGAGAGGATTAGAGAGAAGATTAATTCATCTCTGCAGCTTTTTTTTTTTAATTCATAAAGAACTGAAAACAGCCTAAATGTGTAGGAAGAATGAGATAGTTAAATTAGAGTTTATCTATCTGCAGAATGTTATACAGCTATTAAGAATAAAATAAATTGGGGCTCTTGTGTGGTTTAATTGGTTAAGCATCTGACTCTTGATTTCGGCTAAGGTCATGATCCCAGGGTTGTGGGATGGAACCCATGTGTTGGGCTCTGCCCTGAGTGTGGAGCCTGCTTGGGATTCTCTTTGTCTCTGTCTCTGTCTCTCTCTCTCTCCCTCTGCCCTTCTCCCCTGTTCACACCCTCTCTTTCTCTAAAATAAAAGTTTAAAAAATGGAAAAAAAAAGAATTAAAGAAATTAATGAGAAAGAAATTCATAAATTTAAAAGAAAAGGCTGTATTCATTTTAAGAACAATATAAAAATCATATTAACTGTATGATTTAAAATTATAAATAGATAAAAATACACCAAAAATTTAACAGTACATTTGCTAGAAATATATCAAAAATTAATAATCATTAATAGTGATTATAGGAAAGAAAATTCTTGATGCATGTCATCTTTCTTATGTTTTTCCATATTTCTAGTTTGCATATGATAAACATAGTAGTATATATTACTTTGATAATCAGAAAAAAATTGTGAAAGCCTAGATAGAAGAAAAATATTTGGCACTGTTTAAGGGTGGTTGACTAAGGTTTCTGTGTTTGTTTTTCTAGTTGCCACATCTTGGAATGTAATTATGTTAAATTTATAATTTCAAAAACTATAATAGTTATCAAGGTAATCCACACTACATCTTAATTTCCTTCTGGTAAGACATGACATTAGAAACAACACTTTACATTTATGTAAGGGTTTGTGAAGTATCTCACTTGTATTATTTCATTTGATTTTCACACCTGTGTAAAGTAGAAAGTGTTATCATGCTACAGTTGCAAAAATTGACTCAGAGATTAAGTATGGTACTTCAAGCCTTGTGGCAGATTATTAACAGAACCAGTGTTGGATCCAGTGGTTAAGCTTCCAAATGCTCTCTCAGTTTCCATGGAATCATTTTCACAATTCTCATTAGGAAGAATAAAATACTATGCCATTGCAAATATGACACAAATGCTGAAACAACTAAGACACTTACTGAAGAGAGTGATTTTGATTTGTTTTATACCTATTCTTTCCACTGTCTTCACAATGGTTAATTATTTTTAGAAGTTAGGCTTTGATGTTTTGGTTAGTACCTTTCCTATACAGTCTCTAATCCCTTGATATACTCAACTAATTAAGCAGTGATGTAGTCTGTGCATGAAGTACTTTTTAATTAGCCACAGTGATTCCCAAATTATTCAGTCTGGACTCAGGACCCTTAATATTCAAACTGAAATTTAGTGCATGTAAACTCTTTATTTAAATAGTGACATTTGAGATTAAGCTCAATAAAGGTTTCTATGGAAACGAACTGCAATATCAAAACTTTCCAAAACATCGAAATGACCCAATTAGAAGAGGTAAAAATAAGTAATAGAAAGAGTAGCTATCAATAGAATGGAATGGTTCATTTTACTTCTGCACATTAATTTTCATAAATGTGTCTGCATATTCATTAGAAGACCATGCAATTCATTTGCTAGTCAAGCATCTCAACTAGATAAGAATGTTACATGAAATAAAAGTTTAGTTGAAGCCAATTTCATAGAAATGAAATCATTGAAACTGAAGAGCAAGGTAAATTTACATGAATGTATACACACACAGATAACATAAACACTGCTAAAAAATAAATGACAAAATTCTAGGATTCCTGCAGCAGAAAAGATCAATAAATTTCATGAATTGGTTCCAAATAGAAACTTCTTAGAACTAAGAACAAAGGGAAATATTTCCTAAGCTTGACTCCAGGATGAGATATAAACATAAACATCTTTATTAAAGGTTGAAATCATACAAGAAGCTCTTAAAAATAGCTCTGAGTGAAGCAAAATATTAGAACAGCTCATGAATGTACATTTAAAAAATTTTCTACTATGAACATTAACCAAGTTCAAACTTTAACCTTGACATTTGCATGCACTATGACAACTGAAAACCCAAAGTGGTTTTTAAAACGTACATGGCTGCAGAATTCTAACTTTTGTCCTGAAAGTTTAGATCACAACATACTTTCCTGAAAATCCTTATGTAAAGACATCCAAGTATGTTTAGTAAGTAGTATTCTAAATTCTACTAATAAAACACAATGACCAAGTGACACATATAGTTGCAATCCAGTAATAGCCATCTTAAACTTAGCCCATCCAAAATCTATCTCCTGATCCTTCCCACTTTTCCTGGAATCTTTCCCATCTCAGTCCATGGCAACACCAGCTTTAATGCCTGTCCTTCATGCTGTGTTATTAATCTATTATAGACAACTGGCTTTGAATGGCATTTTTGCCACATTAAGCAATACTGAAGAAAGACAGGGGGCAGCAATGTCTGTATGCAGTGATGATAACACTCATAAGAATTACTGTGTTAAGAAATCTGTAAAGAAGTATGGTAAGTTAGTCATGTTAAAAAGTATGGTAGTTCCAGGGTTGGGGAGAGGAGCAGAAAAAGACATCCAGTGGAGTTCACGAAGCCCTGAAATATCTGAAACAATGTGCTCCCGTTTTCTGGCATGGCTTCAGTTCACAGTGCACAGGAACTAAATGTCCCACTGGGAAATGTCACTCCTATTTGCAGATGAGAGTGCAGAGTTTCTTGCCACCTATGTCCTATGTATTTGTATACAAATACACATACACATATGTTCGTGGCATGGCCCTGAATAACATTATCTCATCTTCTCCAGACTTGTATTTTGAAGCGAGTCATAAAGCAGAAAAAGGGATCAAACCAGTGCTGCTTACTTATGTCTGTGGCTAACATTTCCTAAGCATGCTTGCAATAAAATCTCTTCCCTCTGGCTTGAATACTAAATACCTGAATTCTTGGTCTGCTTTTCCTTGACCTACATTATCTCTTCTTACCACTTGCTCCATCAGAGACCAAAGCAGTCTTTCCGGAATATAGAAACATGAATCCTCGGGGTAATACACACACTTTCCTCATTCTAGCTATTTTATAAATGAAGATGGTAATTTAGTCTTTGGAACTCCAGCTTTGACACCTTCTACTCTCATTCAACAAGTTGCAATTGAGCTAGCGTTGTAACCTCTGAGTTATTATTTTATGAACACGTATTACCTGTGCAGATTCTTTTAAAGTTGGGATTTTCCAGAATGTGTCCTGGTAGGCGGCACTGAAATCGATGTTGCCAGAACTCAGGAAACCAGGGATTCCTCGTATTAGTGTCCAGCCTCAGCTTCAGGAAATAATCATCAAATGACCTGACCTCTGGAGACTGCAGCTTTATTGTGATTCCCCCGTTGGCTTCCACCTCATAACCTTCAATGACTTCATCTCTGTCTGCCCATCCATCACTGAAAAAATTCAGGGATTGGGGTAGGGAGAGAGAAAGACAAAGGTCTCACAAATAGAGCTCAGCATTATACATGAATGAAGCAATTCAGCAAGGTTGAAAGTCTATTTTAAGCCAGAATTGCTACCCATTAATGATTTTGTTTTCTGGTAGAAAGTAGTAAATTCTGAAATAATAAAGTCTTGTTTGCTTGTTTTCACAGTAGTGAAAGTGATGATGATAATGATGACGATGATGATGATGATAGTAGCAATTGCAAGAACTAACATTTATTGAGCATTTACTAGTCATCAGATTCTGTACTATTCACATTTACTGAGTCAGAAGATGTTCAGCAACTAACTGAAGTCCCAGTGGATCCAGGTTATGGATTCAGGCAGTCTGGCTCCCAGACCCAGTGCTCTTTAGGCCACAAAACCATCAGTTGCTGTCCAAATCAGAATAAAATAAAACCCAGCCTCTCAGGGCCTTCACAATAAGAGCTCAGCAAGGTTTCAAGGTTGCAACCAAGACCATTATACAAGCTGAATTTATAGGGCAGAGAATTGATTTAGCTCAGAAACATGACAACCACGGATTTTGCTCCTGGACATTGTTCAAATGTACGTCACCTAGAAGTGATCAGATGCTTCCTCTTCAATGTTGTTTCAAAACAGCAGCATTAAGAGAAAACAATCCCACTCCCCAAAATAAAAATAATCCTCCTGCTCACTAAATGGAAGATAACTAATGCTTTATTCAGTGGGTTCAAATTTTATTTTAATGTTATCACCTTCTAAAACATTCACCTTGGTTATGAGTGATGTCTCTCCAATTTAATTCAAGTGTGCCTATGAACCAGGCCAAACCTTATGTGAGTATGGCTGTGATCCCTTTCCAAGTAGGTGTCAAAAAAAGAAATTTACACTGGATAGAGTTAAATAGGCAAATAAGACTTTATTCAAGAGTATTCCAATAGGCCAGAGACACTGAACTCCCCTCTGCTGAAACAAAAGTTAGGGAGATTTAAGTACTAGGGTAAGCTAGTGAGCTAGTGCTGGAGGACACTGAGGGGAGCTTGGTCAATGTGATTAGTCATCTGTGTTTTAAAATTGTCATTTATCTAAGTTAGGCTTCCACCTTCCCACAGAAACTGGGAAAGAGGGGTCTGCTATCACTCCTGATGATTATATTTCAAAGGATGACTTCCAGGTACCTGAGAAAGAAACTTCTCTGCTGTGAAACTGTCAAGAGTGTAGGAGAAAATGCACACCTTCAAGAGATAGGGAAATAATTTGTAATGCTGTTTTTTATTTGTTTATTTTTTATTTTTAGAGAGAGAACACGCAGATGGGCAGAGGGAGAGACAGACAGACAGACAGAGAATCCCAAGCAAGCTCCATGCTCAGTGCAGAGCCTGAGACACGGGCTCCATCCCATGACCATGGGATCATGACCTGAGCCGAAATCAAGAGTTGGACACTCAATTGACTGAGCCACCCAGGTGCCCCTGACAGCATTTTTTAAATTAAATGCTTCAAGGAAAGGGGATTCAAGGGGCCCATAGTCAGAAAGAAACTTGTCTAAAGTTGAGTCAAACTAAAAAGAATATTAAGATTCTCCTGTGGTCAAGGGGTAGATTTATTTACACTCACAGAGTCGTACCTTGCAGTTTTTGGAACATAACTAACTGTTCAGTCTCTGACAGAGAAAGTGTTTTATCACTTACTTCTCACAGAGCATGGACCTGGGCCAAATATATAAGACAGACCATAGTTACCCCTTGTTATCTGAGATCAGCTGGAATACATGTGTCCTCCACTAAGCTGAGTTAATTGGTGCAGTTCTATTTCAGAATCTTCCCAGTGAACCACACAGGAGCCATATTTTCAATGACCAAGGGGTTGTAGAAGGTATAGCTGACTTAACATGATCCAGATCTAAAGAGATCTTGAGGTATATCCAGAAAATGTCTACATGCTTCTTCTAAATCCACTAGTTAGAGATTTTACAATTTTGTACAGATCTTTCATTTCCCTTTACCCCCTACCCTTCATTTCCTCCCTCCCTCCATTTCTCTTTCCCTCCCTCTCTTCCTTCCTTCCTTCTACATTTACCTGGATACTTTCTTATGGTCAAGAGTCAAATAGGAATAAGACACACTATCTTCTGCCCCTAATGTTACAGACTTGCGGGGGAACAAACACTAAAAAGGAATTACAAATGCTACAAAGGTAAAAAAGGAAGAAACCAGTATCATGAGGAGAAGAGCTTGGGGATTTAACTCAGTCAAGTGTGTAGTGTGTTCATATGTATATAAGGGAGAAAGTGATTAGGGCGACTAAGAAAGTTATGTCTGAGCTGAGACCCAAAGGATGCGTCGACATTAGTCAGATGAAAAGTTGGAGAAGACTTGGTATAGAATGTTCCTGTTAGGTTATCTAATATACAGGAAAGAGCATGGGCCATTCAAAGAATTTGGAGAGTCAGTATGGCTGGAGCACAGAGAGAAGTGTGGCAGGAAGTGTGGGGATAAATCCCAGTTTAGGAGCTGTTAGCCTGACTGCAGGAAGTCCTCAAAGTGTTGTAAGCCTCTTATGTAATAAGGCCATTGAGCTCTGCTCCCTGGTGGTGAATGACCTGAGTCTTTCTAGCAAGTCCAGCTCTGCTCACCATCATTGCATATGATGTTCAGTCAAATTGATTTTAAAATAGTAGACAGACTCCTTTATCTTTCTATATGCTCAGTTTACTTAGAAAGTGTTGAACTAACTTAATTATTTAGATTTACATATATTATATCATAACTACATGTATAGCAATTTGAAGACCCAAATTATAGGGTCAAGGGTAAAGATAAAATCCACCAGGCTTTCAAGAAATTCTGCTTATGAGTATATATTTAAAATCAAAATGCCTTATAATTTAAAGAAAAAACTTACTTTTTTGACATAAAATTTACACTTGAAGTGTGTTTCTCCCCAGGATTTATTATTATGTGAGATTTTCTGTGTGTGTGTGTGTGTGTGTATAGCCTGAATAGGAAACCCACAAATTTTTTTAAGTGTATGAAATGAGCCTTCTATACTGTTTATTTGCATTTCTTTTTTTAAGAACCATTTCCAGTTTACAAAAGCACGTATCACGTATCAGTGCTAGAAGCAGAGAAGGTGTGACCTCCTGCCCTCCAACACAGCATGGGAGTAAACCATTGTCTATGAATAAACACAATTAGAAATTGTATGTTTTAGTGGGGTAGAGCCTTAGATCCCCTTTGCCTTTGTCTCAAGCCCTTCCGCCTCACTATAGACGATCTTACTCCAGAAATTAGTGTTCGTGTTAAATCCAAGAAATCATGAAATCAATGAGAACCAGGATGTGACAGAAAAAAGTATTAAACTAGAATATTAGTTGGTGAATACTGTTGAAACGTTAAATGTTAGAGGTTTTATGAGATCTTAACTCTATCACAGGTAAGGTTAGGGAATGCTAAAAGTTGCTGAAAAGTACCCATAAAGAACCTGGTTTTTAAAAAATATATTTAAATCATTTTGTATACTTGCCAAAGATTACTTACAGAGAATTTTAAAGAATTTTTGCTGTTTAGTTGTGTTGGGATTTTTCACAAGTAGATTCTCTGTGAAGCGCACTTAAAAACAGGGAGGCCGCAGCTCTCCTTCTACCTAGTTCGGGGGTTTACTCTTGTTGATGATGGTGGTGGTGTAGTGTGGACTATGTGGCAGGAGATGACCTGAGGGCACCTGCTCAGCCCAGGTGTCTGCAGTGAATCCAACTGTGCTGCGTGCTGAACTCTGCGAGGCATAGTCACAGCCTCTAGCAGCTTCTGCTGCCCCATCTGTTTCCCAGTGATGAGTCCCTTTTCCTATCTGGGGTCTGGAAATAAAACTGCGTAATGTGGATAAACAGGGAGAACATTTAACAGAAAGCTACAAAATATAAGAATCCTTGTTCCTTATCCCTCTCAATGTGTTTACACAGCAGCTCTTTCACAAGCTCGTTCTCTTCCCTGCAATCATTGTTCTAGTCCCTGTGAAATTCCACAGTCCCAACCTGAATAATAATAAGATTTCTTCCACTGATTAAATTCTGATGGAAGCAACAAGAAAATATCATTTCTAATTCTAGCAACTATAACTGGGCAGGAGATGCCTGAGTGCCACCTTTGCATTATATAAGTTAAAATCATTTAATAAGAAAATTGATAGTAAAAAAAAACAGAAATACAATAGTATTCACTTAAAAATAGTTTAAAAGCATTTTACAAAAATATATTTACATTCAATTAAAATAATTACAGTCTAGGGAGTAAAGCAATTTGATTTGTGTTCAGTACAAGTAATTGCATGTGCCTAATAATAAAACTATAATTCTTTAAAAATATTCTAGTCGGGCACCTGGATGGCTCAGTCAGTTAAGTGTCTGACTCTTAATTTCAGCTCAGGTCATGATCTCCCTGTTGGTGAGTTCAAGCTGCACACTGGGCAGTGTGCTGAAAGGGTGGAGCCTGCTTCAAATTCTCTGTCTCCCTCTCTCTGCCCCTCCCTTACTTCATTTCTCAAAAATAAATAAATATTTAAAAATATATACATTCCAGAGATAACCATATAACCAAAAAATGAGAAAGGATAATAAAAATCTTTTTTAAAAAAAGTAAACAAGCACAAAAGTCTATAAATACAATGCTCACCATACTTACAAAGGTTGAAGAAATGTCACATGATTCAATTTACATCAAGTGATGTCAATTGTGGGAAATTTTATGGTGGTAATGGCAGCTTTTCCAATAAGAATTCAGACTGGCTTTATTCATTCGGCATTTATGCGCTAAAAATCTTGAACGAGTTAGGCGCTTTGCTTATGCCCGCAGATCTATTGCTAAGCAGTTCAGGTGCAGCCCCTGCTCTCCAGGCAGTCACAGGGATGGGGAGGACTAGCCACTGAATACCCAAGAACCACAGAGAGTTGTAGCAGTGAAAGCAAAGGAAGGCAGGCTACAGAAGA